AGTTTCTGTGTGCTCCATGCCCCAGAGAGACTGCAGCCCCAGAGCTGGAGCTGAGTTGTGCTTGACAGTAAAGGGGAGGGAAGGGAGTGGGCAGGGGGTTGGGGACAGAAACTGCAGAAGAGAAGTGGGTGGGGAGGGGCAGAAAGCTGCTGTGGTTCTGACTCTGGCCCCAACCTAGGCTCAGGACCAGTCAGAGCAGGAGCAGCCACCTACTCTCCCTTTTGCATCGAATCCAAATGTAAGACATGGGGCTTCCCTGCCCTCCCCCTCCATGCTGATTGGGAAGACAAAAACTCATTTTATATTTGAGTAAATGTGGTACATGGTTTGAGCAAAACTTCCATCCCCATCAGAACTATACCTCCACTTCTAGCTCTAGAAAATAAACGTATGACACCCAGGAATCTTTCCAAGTGTTTCTTCCATCTTCATAGGTTGTTAGGGGCTAGAAGGGACCTCGCAAGATCGTCGGGTCCAATCCCCCTGCACCAGGCAGGAAATCATCAAGTCTGGTCCCCTGCCGTGTACAGGAAGTTATTGGGCTCAGATGAGCTCAACAATGTGCTTGTCCAGCCTCATTTTGAACACCTCCAAGGAGGGTGACTGCACCACCTCTGCTGGAAGTGTGTACCAAATTCTGGTGGCCGTTACAGAGAAAATGTTTTTTCTTATATCCAACCTGAATTTATCCTCCATTAGTTTATGCACATTGGTCCTCATCCTCCCCTGAGGTGCGCTCTTGAATAGTTGCTCTCCTAGTTTTTGATGCTCCCCCGTGATGTACTTGTAGGCAGCTATCAAGTCACCTCTCAGCCTTCTCTTCCTCAGGCTGAACAGACCCAGTTCCTGCAGTCTCTCCTCAGAGGGCCTACCCTCCATGCCCTTAATCAAATGGGTGGCCCTTCTTTGTACCCTCTCAAGCTTATCCACATCTTTCTTAAAGTGTGGTGCCCAGAACTGGGCACAGTACTCCTACTGGGGCCCCACCAACGCCGAATAGAGTGAGAAGTGTACCTCCCTGAATCTGTTGGCCACATATCGGTCGATGCATGCCAGAATTTTGTTTGCCCTTTTGGCAGCCTCATTGTGCTGTTGGCTCATATTCATCTTCCAGTCGATCGTGACCCCTACAAGTCTCATTCAGATGCTGTGCCCATTGTATATTTGTGGTGGTGGTTCTTCCTACCCAGGTGAAGGACCTTGCACTTCTCCCTGTTAAACCTCATCTGATTTTGTTCAGCTCATAAATTCAGTTTGTCAAGGTCATCCTGGCTCTTTACCCTATCCTGGTATGCCTGCATTTCCCCACAGCTTGGTATCATCCATGAACTTAATCATTGTGCTTTCCACCCCCTATTGAATAGCAGGGGTCTGAGCACCAATCCCTGGGGGAACCAGTGGAGACGGCCCTCTAGTATGAGGCCATCCCATCGGTCATGTCTGTCTGGGAGTGGCCTCTAAGTCAGTTGTCCACCCACCTCACTGTAGACTGGTCCAGCCCAGTAGGAGTACCCTTTGATATGAAACCACAGAAACAGTAGAAAGATACAGCAGAGTTGCATAAAGCTTGCAGAAGTCAAGTAATGGTTTATTTTCACTATCTTAATTTGCCAGTGGAGGGTCAAGAATGTAATCCTCGGCAGTTTAAACAGTATGCTCAAACTTTATTTATCCTGTAGCGTTCTTGGAAGGACTGGAAAGCAGCTTTGAGTCAGCCTGCTTAAGCGATTAACACTAGATTTTGCTGTCACTTCCTGCCTGGTCCCTCAGGAACTAATTTACCTTCCTAATGTAAACATCGCTTGCAAAATCAAGCTCATGCTGTTGTTAGTCCATTCTTGATTTTGCTCTAGCAGTGTTCATGAGGTCCTTTTGTATTTGCAAGGGTTTCTAAATCTTTGAACAACACCACTGAGTAGAGGTTTGGCTTTTGGGCCATGCCCCTTAGAGTCCTTTGACTTTCCTTTTCTCTTCATATCTTTTTTTTTTTTATACTGTCTCTGAATTTATTTACCTAAGTTTCTCAAGCTTTACTTATTACATTTTTCTCCTCTTCACATCAGTGCATCTATATCAGTCATTTAATAGAGCTTTTAAGAACAGAGCACAAACCTCTAATGCAGCAAAAGTGCCTGGGTGGGGGAAGGGTAATGGTAACATCGGAAAATTAAGCTAATCAAAGCTGGTTTTCTCTCCTCCCTGCCCACAGGTAATGGTAATTCATTCAGTCCTAAACCAACTCTAGAATTGACATACATACTGGAGAGAGAGAGAGAGAATGTGTGTGTGTGTTAAATGAACATGTTAAACAAATTATATGATATTTTACTTCTCTAACATTGACTCTTTCTTACATACCACTGGATTTACGTTGTTAGATATTTAACTTCATTCATGAAGGTATTATTTTTTTGAATGCTTTCCTCTTCTTTTTGGTCAGTGAGAATCAAAACCATGTCTCCGCATCCTGAAAAACATTTAAAGCAGAACAGTATCCTAATTATGGATTTAATTCAATCTGATAAATATATTCTGTCAGTTTTTAGGGGCCTGACTAACGTTATACCAAGTGAATGTACCTCTGCTTCTATATTCTGGATAAAATTTGAACCATCTTTGAAGACTTTTCTTGTTGGACCAGACATTTTATCTTTCCTCTGTGTCCTTCCAAAAAGTACTGCTTATTCCCATTCTATATTCTTAATTTTGAGGACAGAGTTAAACTGCCAAATAGTGTGACTGTAATTTGGTCCTTTTGATATGTACATGTTACTGGGTCTGTCAGAGATGATTGAGGAAGGAACAGGGCATGCCTTTGGTTTGATATGGATCTTTTGAAAACTTCACTAAAGATTTCTTATTTATATAGTTCTTTATCTGCAAAGTGTAAAAGCTTCTGTAGAGGAGATAATTATTGAAGTACTTTTCAGAAAATCCTGTGCAATTCAGAGCTGTTTCTTTTCTGTGATAATTATCATATTTTCAGCCCAGGAGAGTTGGCTTACAAGCTGTTCGGATGAATACTGCTAATATGAAAATAGCTTAGGGTCCATCTCATGACAAAATATGAATTAATTGCAGGTTCTGATTACTTGGTATATTAGAATTGCTATATCTCAGTGACCTGACCCTCCATGTTTGCAAACAGGCATGACCAGCTGACTTTGATGTCAAACAACCAGTTTCTCCAACAGATTAAAATAATACCCACCAACAGATTGGCTTAGTAGGATAGCACTTACGGGGCAAATCTGACTGACTTTTGCCATAGAGGGAATTTGGCAGTGACCTGTAAATTTAGGCTGCCTAGGCTTAATTTCCTTCTTTATAAAAGGTTCTTGTGCATTTTGAGAAAATATACCCCCTACCCTTCCCCCCTGAGGAACATATTTAAATTTGGCTAAAGAAAAGCCAAGGATGTGCTTTTTTGCTTGGAAAAATCATGTTCAGTTATAGGGCATTCAAATTCACTACCGTTCATCTCTCTCTTGCTGTTGGTTGTTATACCTTTAGCAGCATGCCAAAATCCTGAAACATTTTGGCTAGAAATAAATGTTGCTGAATGAAGCAGATC